TTTTTTGGCTTTTTGGGTCACACCCGGCAATGCTCAGGGATTACTCCTGGCTTTGCACTCAGGAACCACTCCTGGTGGTGCTCGGGAGACCATGTGGGATGCTGGGAATCAAACCTGGGTTGGCCGCGTGCAAGGTAAATGCCCTACCCGCTGTGCTATTGCTCCAGCCCCTGACCTCTTTTTTAGAGCTGTATAGTATTCCATTGTGTAGCTATGCCTTAGATACTTCACCCACACATCTTTTCCCAGGCACTTGGGTTGTTTCCAGGTCCTTGCTATTGTGAATAGTGCTGCAGGGAGCATAGGAGTACAGGTGGCTTTTCTACACTGTGATTTTGGGCCCCACACTGTATTGCCAGGAATAGTACTGCTGGGTCATATGGGTCAATTTCTGTTTTTTTAAAGAATATCCGTATTGTTTTCCAGAAAGACTAGACCAGTCGGTATTCCCACCAGCGTTGGATGAGAGTCCCTTTATCCACATATCCATGCCAGCACTGGTTATTTTTGTTCTTTCTGATGTGTGCCAGTATCTGTGGCATGAGATGATTTCTCATTTTTGTTTTGATTTGCATCTCCCTGATGCAGAGCACTGTTTCATGTGCCTTTTGGATATTCGTATTTCTTCTTTTAGGAAGCTTTTGTTAATCTCTTCCCCATTTTTTTGATGGGGTTGAATATTTTTTCCTTGCAACATTCCACTAGTGCTGTATTGATCCCTTAGCAGATGGGTGTTGGGTAAATAATTTTTCCCATTCTGGGGGCTGTCTTTGTATCCTAGTCACCATTTCTTTTGAAATGCAGAAGCTTCTTAGTTTAATGCAATCCCATTTGTTTATTGTTGCTTCTACTTGGTTGGTCAGTGGTGTTTCATCCTTGAAGATACCTTTAGCTTCAGTGTTGTGGAGAGTTCTGCCTATGTTTCCTTCTTTGCACCTTATGGATTCAGGTCTGATATCAAGTTCTTTAATCCATTTGACTTGATTTTTATGCATGGTATTAGAGGTCTGAATTTGTTTGGTTGTTTGTTTATTTGTATGTAGTTGCCCAGTTTTCTCAGCATCACTTGAAGAGACTTTTCTTGTTCCACTTCATTTTGTTTTGCTCTTATTGAAGATTAACTGATCATATTTCAGAGGGTCTGTCTTTATCCCAATACCATGCTGTGTTAACTACTATACTTGATAGTACAGTTTGGAGTTGGGGAGAGTGATGCCTCTCATTTTCTTTTTCCCACGGATTGCTTTGGCTATTGGGGTGGAGGTGGAGAGTGGACTTCAGTTTCTTCTTCTGTGAGGCGTGGCAGCCATGGAGTGTGTTGCTGAGGAATTGTTGAGGGTTACAGGAGAGGGCTGTGCCAAGAGTGTAAGGCCCGTGGGTCCCGGGCCCCTCGAAACCATTCCTCAAGTCTTAGCCATGATGCTGGCAGTGAGGGTGTTTAAATGAGGGCAGCAGAGGACTAGGCAAATCTGATTTCTTTTCCACCCTCTTCATGCAGACCTCCCAGTACTGCAGTCTACTAGATGCATGCTAAAGTGCATCCGTGTTGTTTAAGTTATAACTGCACTCTACTCTCAGTTATTAATAAGCCTTCTTTATTAAGTTTTGGCACAACTGAGACAGTAATTGGAGAAGCTATTATTATAAAGACCTTTCTCACTTTGTAGTATTTTTACAAGCTGCTGGCTCATGTCTAATGTGAAAGCCCTGATATTTAAGGTCAGGGACTGGGAGAAGCAGCCCGTGACGGGGCCAAGTGAGCAGGGTCCTGCCGGGAGTTTACTGGGGAGTCTTCGAACCAGGTCATCCCCTGCCTCAGAGTCCCCTTCCTTCTCAAGCTCTCATGCTCAAAACACACACACACACACACACACACACGCACGCATGCACACGCGCACACACACACACACACACACACACACACACACGCATGCACACGCACACACACACACACACACACACACACACACACACACACACACACACCAGCAGAAGAGCTATAAGTGAAACCAAGGCAGATTCCTGAAGCTTCTGCAAACAGATCCCCAGTGGCGATGTGGACCAAGCACCCCTGCCCAGCATGAGAAGTCACTTCTGCCCTACTGAAAACAGCTTTTCTCCCAAGAAAAATAATTTGAAACCCTCTGATGAGAAGGCACAATTCTGGGTTGTTTTCACTTGGTGAATTCTCCAACTTGGAATGAAGCATTCTACCATTACTAAAAGTGACTATTTATTTCTTTCAAGATCTTAAATTAAAAAAAAAATAAAAAAACATTTAGGCAAGGAGTGTGGCTCAGCCATAAAGAGCATTTTTCACACGGAGAAGGTCTTGGGTTTGATCCCTGGCACCACAAAAAATTATTTAGCATTCTATGGCTATTTGTAAAGGTCAAAATGATCAGGTTCTTGGTTTTGATTTGGGGCCACACCAGCAGTGCTCAGAGCTTACTCCCGGCTCTGTGCTTAGGTATCACTCCTGGTGGAGCCCAGGGGACCATATGAGGTGCGGGGGATCAATACTGAGTTGGTTGTGTACAAGGCAGTAACCTGCCCGCTATACTTCAGCCCGGGCCCCCAGTGATCAGTTTCTTAGGACAGCGTAGGATAACACTTTCCTCGAAATTTACATTTCTTCACATCACAAACCTCTCTCTACAATCCCCACATTCAGTTTTGTGATACCCTTAGTTTTTATTTTTTCCCAAAATATCACCTCCTCATTTTGTTTGATATGCTTCTCAAACCATCTTTTCTTTTATTATTCCATTTCTGCACCCAGGTTTTAATGGTGTATTCACTATTAAATTTCTCATGATCCTTTTTTTTTTTGGAATATAAAAATAATACAGGCCCATCATAGGCAATATAGAAAATATAGGGAAATATAAGAAAGTATTTTCATTTAGAAATAGATATTTATGTTTGGCATTTTTGTATCTTGTACTTTGTGTGTGTGTGCATGAGTGTGTGTGAGGAAATTTTAATCTACTTATTTCATATTGTGTTCTTATAGAGTTGAGGTATCAGTATGTTTCTGGTTAAATCTATTAAATATTAATATTAAAAATGTAAAAATTTGCTTTTATATTTTTATTTTATTTTTATTTTTTTAATAATTTAAAAATTATATATATTATATATTACAATCTAGTTCTTACTCTTGGAGAACCCGGCAGACTACCACGAGTATCCTGCCCGCACCACAGAGTCTGGCAAACACCGCAGAGTCTGGCATATTCAATATGCCGAAACCCAGTAACAATGATGGGTCTCATTCCCCTGACTCTGAAAAAGCCTCAAATATGGCACTTTCTAAAATCTCAGGGCTAGGATGAAGGAGACATTACTAGTGCCTGCTCGAGGAAATCAGTGAACAATAGGATGACAGTGATAAAGTGAAAATAATTTAATTATTTATTTAATTTTTATTTTATATTATAAAAATTATTTGGTAATTTTGGTTTGGGGGGCCACATCCACTGATGCTCAGGGGTTACTCCTGACTCTGCACTCAGGAATTTCTCCTGGCAGGATTCTGGGGACTATATGGGATGCCGGGGACCGAATCTAGGTAGGCCACCTTCAAGGCAAGTACCCTATGCACCGTACTATTTCTCCAGCCCCTATATTTTTTTATTTTAATGGGTGCAAATATTCTCGCATATCAATAGAGCAAAATTTATTTAGTGCTTGAAGCTACCCATGACGTATTCAATATGCCAAACACAGTAACAATTGTCACAATGGAGATGTTACTGGGCCCGCTTGAGCAAATCGATGAAAACGGGAGGACAGTGACAGTGACAGTTTCTGTTATTGAAATTAGTGCTTGCTTACAAAATGTGCTCAGGCTCACATGTAGTCATTTCCAAAGACCGTGTTTAGATCTAGACAGTGTCAGGGTTCCCGCCTGTTCCCTTCTTTGTAAAATGGGGGTTAAATAAAATCATTCACTGGCTACAATTTTAACAAAATAAAATAGTCATCAACTCATAGGAGATGCAGGTAATGTACAGAACGGGGTACATTGTAAGTTCTGCCAAGTATGATGACTGCTTTTACATATAATCACTGATCTTTTAGTTTTTCACCTAGTTTCTCGAATTTAGGATATAGCGCAAACTGTCTTAATGACTTTAAACAATATTTTTCCAAATATGTTTCTAGAAAAATGCTGCCAACTTAAATTCACATAAATAAGTACCCATCTTAATGCCATCTCATGCCACTCTCCGGTCCTGGATATTTTTATCATTATTGTATGCCAGTGTAGCGATGGCACAGCGGTAGGGCGTTTTGCCTTGAACGCAGCCAACATGACCGATCCGGTTCAATTTCTCCACCCCTCTCGGAGAGCCCGGCAAGCTACCGAGAGTATCTCGCCCGCACAGCAGAGCCTGGCAAGCTCCCCATGACGTATTCGATAGGCCAGACACAGTAACAACAAAGTCTCCAATGGAGACGTTACTGGGCCCGCTCAAGCAAATCGATGAACAACGAGAGGACAGTGACAGTGACAGGAACATACTTGAAATTTGCATGTCTTTGGTTATGAAATCGCCCAGTTATACTCCTTTGCACATTGCTTATTGAGATTAATGCCCAATTTTCTATCGCCTCTTATTCTAAAGTCAGTAAGTTCTTTATAAAGTGTGGTGCCAAGCAGCTCAAGTTCAGTGACTACAACCTTCTGGTGGGAAGCGAGGGTCAGCGTGCTCATTTCCTTTGCACCTTGGCTGGCACATGTGAATGCTCAGCTCCTTCTTGCTGCCTGTATTTCATCATTGTTTGCAGTACACAGTGCGGTGCCTTGTGCATGGTAGGTAGCCTGCCCGCTCACATTGGCACAGGTGCCCTGGCTTTCATGGACCCTTTGGCCACAACCTCTGTTATCGCTCAGATGAGGCAGTAGTGCCTGAACTTGATTTCCCCCCCCCCCCCCAATGTTTGTAGTGGCTCTTCTAAAATTCTTCACGTATCCCTCACTTTGTTTCTAGGTGACCAACCTGAGCTTGTCAAGTGGCGTCATAAGCCGATGCAGTGCTTCAACCCCCCCCACCCTCCGGCCTGTCATCAGCCCTAGTGGCCCCACGTGGTCTCTACAGTCCGACCCCCAGGGTCCCGAGAGCCACTCCATCGCTCCTGGAAGCAGGTATGTGAAGGGCCAGGTGGTCCCATGGGGTCGTCATAAGCAGATGCATTGCTTCAAACCTCCCCGCTCTGACCCATCATCAGCCCTAGAGGCCCCCATTGTCAGTACAGTCCGACCTGTCCTAGACCACTGGCTTCCTCTCACGGGAAGGCCGGTGGCAGGCGCCCTCTCATTCCCCTCAGTGAAAAGGAAGTTCCTGGCACCATTGGGTGAACTCGCTTCTTGGTGAAAGAGCCAGCCTTTAAACTTGGTTTGCTTATCTTTGTCTCTCTTCTTGTCTCCTCATACCTTGTACATTGCCTTTCCGTAACTTCGGACTCTTTCTCTTTTGAAGGGCAGACTCGCTTGTGATGTTTTCATCTAGACTGTATAATTAAACTCGAGCAGCCTCTCTGGACATTGCTCATTTAGGAAGCACTGCTTCCTTGATGTAGTTGAGAGAAATGACAGAGGATAAAAATTGAAATAGATTCAGGCCATAAAGCAAGTGGCTTGTGTGTTAAAGCAGGAGCCCCGGGTACTGAATTCTAGTCCCCTGTCTTTACTTTAGGTCCTGTGTGGAAGAGCTGTGAGAAGCTGATTCCCAGTAGGTCGTGCTTTGGTGACTTTTAATTCGGCATTTCACTGCCTGCTCTAGGCACCAGAGTAGCTAGAGAGCACTGCAGTGATTTCGGGGAAGTGTTGTGATGGGCTGAGATATTGACCCCACCCTGGGGCCAGCTTTGCCCATCAGCTGCACTTTGGTCCTGCTGCCTTGTCTTGAGGTGCCTCAAGTACCTGTGTGTGGAGGAAGTTCACGAGCCTGCTGGGTTCCGAGTTTTACTTCAGCGACTGATGGGGAGAGTAGTTAACCCTCCTCAGGGAGCCCCTCAGGGGCTCCATCCATCAGACAGCCACCATTGCTGGGCTGGGTTGAGAGCATCCCCACCCAAGAGCGGGAGTGAGAGGGGCCGGGTCCCCTGACCCCCACCAACCCCCACGCCGTCCTGCTGAGTCTGCCTCTGGGTAACTGACCTGCCACAGCTTCTCTAAACATAGGTCATAAAAAAGAACTTCTCTTTATGCCATCTCACTTTCTTTGCCACGTAAAAATATTTCCAAATCTCCCATTTTCGTTTTACAGTCAGAGCCTTGTTCCTCTGGAAAACACTTTCCCTGCCAACTCGGGTGTATTGTCTGTCGGACAAGGCGACGGCTGTTTCCCACACTGTAAGAGAAGTGGCAGAACTGCACGCATCCGAGAGGTGGAGATGGAACATGTTTCAGCCTTGGACATGGAGGGGGTGGAGAGAAGGAAGAGTGTGGTGGGGGGCGGGGTGGGGGGAGGAGGGGGTCAAGCCTTCTCTCAGTAGCACCTGCCGAGGCCCAGAGAAGTGAAGGTTCTTAGTCGAGGTCGGCCAGTGCCTCCACCTAGCCCGTGACTGGCCGCCTCCCAACCAGTCTGTTGGGAGCTGCCGTCGAATAGGCCACGTGCCTCAGAAAGCAGCCCCTGCCCTCACCAGTGAAAAGAGGGCCTCTGCTTTACAGGTCAGTGATCCTCCCAACAGTCAGTCACCTCTACCTCTGGTCTTCAGACCAAAAAGATTCCAGCTTGTGCAGGGCAGGCCAGCCCCAGGAATCGGCACTGCCTCAGCTAGCCTCGGATTGCCACATAGCCTGAGACTTGGCTAGGGATTCCAGTCCCATGTAGGGTTCCCAGGGAACCCCCCCAAGTTCTTCCAGCCCTGCCTTTGATGTGGGACCCAGTCAGAACCCCCCAGCAGCCTTAGCTCACAGCTCCTCAGGCCAGTTGGCCATTCTCACCTGGTCAGTCACTGTTTTGTGGTGGTTTATTTAGTCTCTCGCTGTTTCTCCCTTAGTAGTTAGGGTGACTCAGGTTAATAAATGTGGGAGTAGAAGCTTAGAGATGCGCGTTTTATTACAGGTTTTGACACTGAAGTACCCCTCCACTATTCATTTCATCTTTTTTATGGATAAGCATGCTCACCTGTAAAACCCTGGCACATTCTGAGAGCTTCCAGATCACCTCGGAAGCACTTTGACCCTTGGCAGTGGGTGCTGAGTGAATCCCAGGCCCCCCTCCTGCTGCTTGTACAACAGCAATTGTGGATTCCACCTGATCAGTAAGGGTGATTCACCTCACTTGGGGGCGCCTCGGGAACAGACAGACGTGGAAAGTGGATCCCACGGCCGCCTGGACTTCTTATCTGCGTACTGGTGGATTCTGTGACTTGGTCGCCACAGGAATGAAAACTGGTGACTCATGCGAGCCCTGCATATAGTGTTATTTTTCATTTCCCTGTGGCATTGCTATTGTTCTCAATTTTATGGATTACACAAGTTCTCACCAGACAACCTTGTTCTTCCCCGGTTCTTTGAGGCCTACCCAAACATCGCCTCGGGGGCGCTTATGTCCCATCGGGTCAGCGTGAGCTCAGTACAGCTCCTCAAATCCCCTGGTTCGTTTGGTCTGTCTGGAGTCCCTGGGCAAGCTTTGTTGTGGGAGAGGAAGGCAGAGAGCCCACGGCTCGCCCAGACAGCCCGAGGCCTGGCCACGGAGCAGCAGCTCCCCAGACACTCCGGAGTTGGAGTTGGCCAGCCTTTCCTCTGTTGTTACTTTTCAGAGGTAATAAGTGAGATTAATTGCAGGCCTTTCTCCAGAAGAGTTAGTCAGGGCCAAACGCAGTCACATGGCGAGGAGGCTGAGGTGTGCCTCTGCGCAAGGCTGATTTAGAACTCTACGGTGGGGTCTCCGGCATGCAAGGGCCCAGTGCTCACTAATGCCTGTTTCTTTCAGGGTCTTTGGTATGTCAGTGGTTTTAAGACCAGGGTCTGTGCACTTTCTTTAGCCAATGAGATGGGTTGGTTTCTCGGGCTGCCTTTGAATTCCCTATGTTCTGGATGCTTAGAGGCCTGGTGACTGAGCAGAGATGCAGAGGTGGCCGGGCACAGTGGGGCTGGGCCCTAGCGGGCATGACCTAGGTGAGCTGTGCCCCATGGGGTCATGGCCAGTGTGTCTTTCTCTGCGAGACCTGGAAGGGTTACTCTGAAGCCTTGGCTGCTGCTTGGAATGATTCGGGAAGGACAGGGCCTCAGACGGCTTGGCAGGAGCCTGAGGCGCTGGTTTTTTCCAGTCCAGCCCTTCCTTGTGGATGGAGCTGTCAGGGAATCCCACGAATGTCTGGCTTCTGCCCCTTTGTATGTTTTTCCAGAGTTTGTCATTGAATTATTTTTATCCCTCCCTAGTTTTTTTTTTTTTGTACGTGCAACCTGAGGTTTTGTTTGTTCCTCGACATGGAAGGTGGGGTGGGTGGGGGAAGCACAAGTGTGATTTTTTTTTCCTCCTACTCTTTGTGATGGGGAGAGATGTCCAAGTATGGGCTGCTGGCCCTGGTGGACCCTGCTCGCAAGAACACCCGAATATCACACCTTTACATTCTTTCTGGAAAATGGGTCCAGTGTTGCCCAAGATTTTGAAAATTCAAGTGTCCTCTTGCCTTTGCCCTTTGCCCTCCTGTGATTTAGGAGTAAACTACACAGAACCTGCTACCTTGGGCTGGAGAGATGACTCAATGAGCCAAGTGTAGGCTGCGAATGCAGCAGGCCCGGGTTCCCTCCGTGGCTCCACATGGTCTCCTGAGCACCACCAGGAGCGACCCTCCTCCAGCACTACTGGACGTGGTCACAAACACCACAAAAAATGAATCTGGCACTTGGCTTGACAGAAATTTCAGAACAAGGTTTTCAGAGATTTTGTTTCTAATTTAGCTGATATGTTTCTCTTCTTTTAGATTGTTTTTTATAAATCCTGCCGTAGATCTAGATCTCTAGTTTCTTATATTTTTCATGTACAGTCAGTCCTCAAAAATAATGAATTTATTATTTTCTTTTAAAAATATGTTCTTTGGGAGCCAGAGAGATAGCTGAACAGTCGATAAGCACTTGCTTAGCAGGCAGGAAGCTCAGGCTTAATCCCCAGCACCACACGGTCAGAGAGCCCGGAATAGCACCCCGCCCCCACCCCCCCACTACCACCACCACCAAGTGTGTGCCCAAAACTACAACGGAAACGGAAAACACATCCTTTCACTGTCAGCGTGCCAGGCGGTGGTTTGTCCTGGGGAGTGATGCGCAGTCATGGGGAATAGCCTCGGTCTCAAAGCATTCACTGTCCAGACTCTTTCTGACAAGGGTCGGTGCTGGGAAGGCTCTGAAAGACTTGCAGAACCCAGGAGGCACCAGCTCCCTAGGTATTCCCGGGAGAAGTGTACGTCCACGGAACAGCTGAGAGCAGTGCCGGCACCCCCTGAGAGACCTTCCTTTCACAGCACAGGCAATTAGAAGAAAGGATCAGAAAGGGGAGGGGAGGAGAGGGGAGGATTCAGTCCAGTCACATGGATGAACCCTGGAAACATTATGAAAAGGAAGGAAGGCAGTCACCAAAGGACTAGCCAGCATGCTTGCCCTCCCATCAGGGTCGGTAGGATTCATGCTGGAGAAACAAGCATGGAGATTGCCAAGGGCCAGGAAAGGAGTGATGGGTGGCTCAAGAGCTGCGATTTTGCAAGATGAGAAGCTTTTAGAGCTCTGTTGCACAAGAGTCGAATTCACTTAACACGTCTGAAGTAGACACACAAAAATGGCTAAGTAGTACATTCAGAGTTACAAGCTTTGCCACCAAAACATAAGAAGAGGGATATAAGGAGAATATATAAGGATTTAAAAGAGAGCCCAGAACTGGAAAGATGGTCCAATAGGTAGGGCACTTGCCAAGCATGCAGCTGACCTAGATTGACCCCACATGGTCCCCAGTGCCCTGCCAGGAGTGAGCCATAAGCACAGAGCAGGGAGTAGCCCGTGTGCACTGTTGCTTATAGTCATAAAGCCTTCCCCTACAAAATTGTTTGGGGGTAATAGTGGTAGTTCTCAGGATCACTCGTCGTGGGGTTTGGGGGACCATATGGGATGCCAAAGATCAAATGTGACTCAACTGCATGCAA